CGCCAGCGTCGCCTCCCGGATAGCGGCGGCGGCCTCGCGGTCCGCCAAGCTGATCTCCACGGCGCCGGCATGATCTTCCAGCGCCATGGCACGGGCTTCGAGGGCCTCTTCGCGCCGTCGGGATGCCGCTTCAGCCTCCGTTGCTCGCTGCTCTCGGGCAGCGGCGGCGTCAAGGACCCCCTGGGCGGCGTCGAGCTTTTTCTTTAGCTCCGCCTCCCAGCTCCCGTGTTGAAGGCGGAGGGAGTCCTGCGCCTCAATCATCGCGGTGGTGGCGATGAGGGCGGCCTCTCGCTCCTCCTCCACCTCTCGGGCGATCTCCGCCAGCGCCGCCTTGCGGGCTTCAAGCTCCGAGATGTGGCGGCGGTGAGCCTTACGGCCCACCTCCACCATGGCGTCCACCGAGCGCCGCCCCTCCTCGACGCGCGCCCATGCGGCCTCGAGCTCCGCTCGTTCCGCTCGCAAGGCCTCCACCTGGGCGCTGAATCCATCTAGCACCGCGGTGTTTGCGGCGGCCAAGGCTTGCAGAAGGGGCTCGGCACTCAGCGGGGCGGCAGAAGACGAGGGGAAGAGCCGCCTTGGAGAAAATGCGACGCGGCTCGGCCCGCCAGAAGACGCACTGAGCTCGGGGATGTCCCCCGGACCCGTTTGGTCCTGGGCGTCGCCCGAGGGAGCGGGCCCAGGCGATGCGCCCGCGGCCTTGTCGCGAGCCGCCCCGGAGGTTGTCGCCTGAGCGTCACCCGAGGGAGTGGGCCCGAGCGACGCGCTGGCGGTCTTGTCGTGAACCGCCTCGGAAGACGCCATCGCCTCAGCCTGGCGAGCCCGGGCGGTTTCCTCCCGAGTGGCTTCTTCAGCCTGACGAGCTCGGGCGGCCTCCTCCCGAGCAGCTTCTTCGGCTTGGCGAGCTCGGGCGGCCTCCTCCCGAGCGGTATCCTCCGCCTGCCGAACCCGAGCGGCCTCCCGGGCGGCCTCTTCAGCTTCCCGAAGGCGATCTGCGGCCTCTCGCCGGTCAGATTCTCGCCTCCGTTCCTCTGCGGCCGCCGGATCTTCGGCCTCGGATTGGCCGGACTTGGGATGGCGGGAGGAACGCGACGGGACATCGCTGAAGCAGAAGAAAAAACCGGAAGACAAACAAGGTGGATAAGAGAAAACTTGCTGATTGGGATAAAGGGAAGATGGTTGTGAAAGGCGTGAAACGAACCTGCGAGGGGGTCGGTTGAACGACCACCTTGGAGGGGAAATCAGGTTTCCCCGGGATGGTTCCGTCTCCCCCGTCTTGCGGAGCCGCTTCTTCTTGCGCTCCGTCTCGGGCTGTGATGTCGGCGCGGCCCCCTCCGGGCGCCTGCTGCTGGCACGCACCGCCCCGCCCCCTCGGGGAGGAGATGGGGGAGGTGTTCCTCCCTGTTTCCTCTTCCCCCGGGCGTCGGCAGGGCGGTTGCTCCCCGAGCCCCCGTCGCGGGGCCCAGAAGCACGGCCCCCTCCTGGGGTTGATTCTTCCTGGCGGCTCCCGCCGGCGCCGTCGTGGCCCTTAGGAGCCACCTCCTCTGAGGCCCCGACCCCCATCATGATGGTCAGAATGGAGGCGCGGTCTGGATCGCAGCAGAGGGGGAGGAGTCCTTGAGGAATAAGAGACGCCTCCATGGAGCTGAGATTCAGCACCCTTTGGACCACGATCTTGAAGTCATCGGGAGCCCAATCCCATCTGACTCCCCGGTGGGTCCTCATGTAGTCCTCGGACCCGGTGTACTCCCATGCGCTCCGGGCGCGCCGCTGAAGCGGCGCAATCCGGCGTCGGAGGTAGTCGCCGTACACCATGGCCCCTGTGAGCCCCTGAGATCGCAGGCCCGCCAGGCGGTCGAGGACGGCGTCATAGTCATCCCCCAGATCTACTGGCGCCCGCCAGCTGGAGACCGGCACCGGGGGCTGGCTTGGGAGTCGGAGGCGCGCTTCGTTGGCAAGGGGGGTGTAGAACCAGTCGCTCTTCCAATCGTCCCACTTCTTGCGGAGGGCGCAGGGGATGTAGCGGTTCAACACTGGCCCCCGCGGCTGGAAGTAGCAACCACCGACCACCGACGGCGGCGACACCGACTGCACGGTGAAGAACCACCGGAACAGCCGAAGAGATGGGCGCACCCCAATGAACATCTCGCACAGGTGCGCGAAGATGGCCAAAGTCATCACTGCGTTGGGGGTGAGGTGCGCCATCTGGAGATCGTAGAACTCCAGAACATCCATAAAGAAAGAAGAAAAAGGAGGAACCAACCCGGCCATTGCGAAGGGGAGGAAGAAGATGGACCGCCCCGGGTAATCTGGTGCTGGGCGCGCCTCGCCCAGCATCACTATCTCCCGGCCGGTAGCGGATTCCGGCATGAAGCGGCGCGGCAGCCCAGCCTGCCTCTCGCCCACAATGCGGGAAGGCGGTAGTACGCTACCGTCGAGCAGAGCGGAGCCCCGTGCCATGTCGTCGGAGAAAGAGAGGGTTGAGAACGAGCGTGTGTGGCGAAGGTGAGGCGCAGCAAAGAGAGAGTTTAGGGCGCAAACGGCGAAGGAAAGGGGAATAGTGGCGAAAGGAAGGGAGCAAGTCTTTTCCTCGATGGCTTTATACCCTTCCCATCGCTGAGCCCGGCTCCTCGTTTCTCGTGCCCACTATCTCGCTCCCTCGTTACTCGCTATCTCGCTCCCTCGTTTCTCGCGCCCACGCTTCCACTAATTCCATTCGCCCGCTTGCGGCGCATGAGGTGGATATGCGGTTGTGGCAGTCGAGATAGATCGTATCGTGTGCGCGTTAATTACGATCGCCGACCGAAGCGACGTTACCATATCTCCAGACGAAACGAATCTGCACGTCCAGATTCGAGCGCTGCTCAAGTGATGTGGCAGTCTTGAAGAGACCGCCCATGGCTGACGGCCAAGACACCGTTACCGATATGCGTGGTTTGAGACCGTTGGGTTTCTGCCCAATCACGGAGACCGGTCCCACCTGTCACCAGGCTTTATGAGTGGCGTCATGCCCGACCGCTTCCCTTGAGAAGGATGATCGCCCTGACATCACGCCGGGGGCTACTGTCGGTGATATGGGACCGGGAGTATTGCGCCCGGAGGCTTGAGGCAGATGGAATCGCCCACGTGGCCTGGCACCTTCGGGGACGTCGGGCCCGAGGGTGAGGTGTCCGCCCTCCTCCTGATTTCCCCGAGGGGGGGTCGGGTTGCTCCTGCCCCGGCCCCGAGGGCCGAGGTGCCCCGACCCCTTGTGGGGTTTGCACTATGTACATAGGTTGGGTGAACACGGTAGGGCTCACCTAACCGCATTTATTGCGGTTTGGTCAAGCGTGTCACGCTGCATGCAGCGCAATGCAGCGCGCTCTTTTATCCGGTCTGTGACCAGTCACAGACCGGTCAGATCAACGGTTAGGTGGCGACTGGCGGTCTGACGCACGCCACGCCCCGTCCCGTCAAGACGAGAGCCTCTAGGCACGCGTCTCCAGCCGGAGCTAGCGTGTTACCTCTTAGAGATGACACGTTAGCCCTGGTTAGATGAATACCAGGCTTCATCCTAACCATTACAGGCAAGATGTTGTGTGAAGAAGGGCAAACATGCACGTTGCTAAGCTGACACGCGGTGGACAAGGATGACCGATTTGTGACCGGTCTGACACTGCTCATGTCGTCAGCGCACAGCCACGTTCCCACGACGCGCCTGCCCCCGGCGGAAGTGGAGGTAGGTATGTGCCGTCCCATCAGAAGGACGTTCGGAGGGCAACCGTGCAGATCTCCGTCCATTTATGTAAAGAAGAAAAGTCCAGTTTGAAAAGGGAAGAGTGCATGTGGTATCCCCTTAAGATATAAAAGGAGGACCATGCCCACAAGGAGAGGGGGATGGGATTTTGGATTTTCCCGGGAGAGGAGAGGGCTGGTTGATATTTTGTAACTTGCTCTTACACAAATCCACCAAAAACACAGGAGTAGGGTATTACGCTTCCCAGCGGCCCGAACCTGTATAGATCGTCCGTGTCTCGCGTTTCTTCCTGGCACGCGATCTTTCTACATACAGAGAGAGCTTGAGATCTCACCCTAAGCCCCCGGCCGAACTGGCAAAGGGGGGCCTGCGCGGTCTCCCGGTGAGGAGCCACGAGCTCTGTCGGAATACGATATATAAAAGAAATCATGTATGACGACTTCTTTGACTTGGCACCAAACTCACCAATTTATCCTATGAACATGTTCAAATTTAAGCCGTCGTACTTAAAATATGCACACACATATCCAACCATTTTAGCTAGTGCGTCGAAATATATCATCGTTCTAATTTCTTATATTCAGACTACAATACTTTAATATATAAACAACATATAAAAATAATATGAGTTCATTTCGAGTTTATAAAACCTCAAGCATACTTGTAGATCTGGTGGTACTACGCCTTTTTCTACCAATCTCTTGATTTTTGTTATAGTTAATTGCACGAGAGATAGGTAGTTCAGATTGATACATGCTCTCCCTTCAAATACAAAGAAATAATATAAACATAATTTTAACAATATTTAAATTCAAATAATAGACCTCTATCAATGTAAACATTACACAATTTTTTAATAGGTATTTCGGATTAATATACATATTTTAATACGTAGATATGTGTCGACGTAAACGCAATCGTAAATATGTACTGGATGCAAATTCCAATTAGTGATGGAACTCAATTAGAATTTCAACCTACGAAATATAAGCATAGCTCAACTGATTAGGTTTCTTGTGGTGGAACCAGCTCACCCCGGTTCAAATTATTTGATACGGATGATCGCATTGATAACTATTTATTTTTTCGGTGGTAGACGATATAACCGTCGATAACGAGTCGTCCGTGGTGTCTTTATCAATTTCAAAAAATTACTGGATCAGTAATGCTCGCAAACCGTGGTTATTAAAAAAAACAAATTCGAACCGGAATCCTCAAAATAATCAGATGTTCCCCCAAACCAAACCGGACTCCATCTCCATCCCCAACTGCCCAAGCTGGAATCCACCTCAAGCTCTCCCTCATCTTCTCATCTTCGCTTAAAAACACAAACAAAACGAATTTCACAAAAATCCTCGAGAAACATCTCCTCCTCCCCCTTCTCTCTCTCTTCCTCCTCCCCCCACATCTCCCGCGAGATACGAAACCCTAGCGCTCGCGGCCTGAATCCGCAGCAGCAGGCGGGGGGCCTCGCCGGATCACCGCCGGGCGGCGGGCGGCGGGCGGCGGCGGGAGATGAGTTCCAGGAAGAAGCCGTCGAGGATCGAGCCGTTCAGGCACAAGGTGGAGACGGACCCGAGGTTCTTCGAGAAGGCGTGGAGGAAGCTCGACGACGCCATCCGCGAGATCTACAACCACAACGCCAGCGGCCTCTCCTTCGAGGAGCTCTACAGGTTTCCCATCCCCCCATCCCCCATCCCATCGCGCTTCTCCCTGTCAGTGCTGTACAGGGGCAGAAAGAAAGATAAGAGGCCTGATTTGATTTGATTTGATTTAGTTTTGCGGTTACAACAATGCGGAGATGGCGATATGTGATGCGAGTATTTGGACATAGTTCATTAAAAAAGGAATTAGAAATTTTGTTTGTTAGGGTTGTATATTGCAGATGGAGTTTAGGACAGCTCCTAGATTCATGATCTGTTATGTGGGATTTGAACCTCACTATAATAATTGATGCTCGCTTGTCGGTTATCGCTGTAGACGTAACGCCCCATTATGATTGGTAGGGAGCTTTGTCAGCCAGATGGAAATCGTATGCAGTTAACTGCTTAATTTGTAGAGCATTAAATACTTTTAACTTGGTTTAGAAGTTTGGGAGATTGCGTATGTCGGTTCATTGATGGGTCTCTTGGTTCGTTATGCTTTTGCTCCATAAATTTAAGTGCAATGGATTCTTAAGTCATGTTGTAGTGCTGTTGCATTTTCTGGCTCCTTTTTTGGTGGCCATGCTATCAAGCAATTTGGATGTTGCAAACCACATGTAAGAGGTGTTTGAGAAAGTGGAAAATACTCCGTTTTATTAGAAGGAAAATACCATTGATTCTACAAAATTTAATTTGTGAAGAAATTCATCACTTGAGAGTTTGCGTGCCTATTACCTCTAGGGAAATTCATCTCAGATCAATTCTCATCACTTGAGAGTTTGCGTGCTCTATGCTATGCATTTGTTTGCGCATAAAAAAAAACTCTTATCCCCTTGAAACAAGATTAGCTGAACAGTGTCTCAAAATACTTATGAAAGTCTTTCTTCTTTACATCATTGTTTTTTCAGTGGAAAATTGTTATTTTCCTTACATAAGAACTCTATTTCTACAATCACAAAGCATGGTCTTTTACTATTCATGTAGTCTGTAGGTAGTGCTTCTATCATACTGAAACTGGATTACTGCAGTACCCATAACTTGTTCAATGGAACTTTGTAGTTGTTGTTATGTCCCTTGCATCATTGTATACTCTTAAAAAAGTGCAATAAATAGAATTTTAAGAGAGAAACAAAGGCCAACTGCCCTGTTTGCTTGCCCTTAAGCGATGTGTTATTGTGATATCTGATTTTTCTTTTTCTTTTTGGTTCTGGAAATACCTTCGATATTATTATTGGCTTTTCATGGTATCATGTCTGAGCTACCAGCCTTTCATGGCACAGTATACTATTATTATTTGTTTGGAACCAATAAGCCTTCTTACGTACCAGAACATAATATTGTCCTTATATTCTGGCAGGACTGCTTATAATCTGGTACTTCACAAACATGGGCCAAAGCTCTATGACAAACTGACAGAAAACATGGAAGATCACCTGCAAGAAATGCGCGTATCGATTGAGGCTGCTCAAGGTGGTTTGTTCTTGGTAGAACTACAGAGGAAATGGGATGACCATAACAAGGCTTTGCAAATGATCAGAGATATCCTGATGTACATGGACAGGGTTTTTATTCCCACCAATAAAAAGACACCTGTATTTGATCTTGGATTGGATCTTTGGAGAGATACTATTGTTCGGTCACCCAAGATCCATGGAAGGTTGCTTGACACTCTTCTTGATCTCATACATAGAGAGAGAACAGGTGAGGTGATAAACAGATCCTTGATGAGGAGTACAACTAAAATGTTGATGGATCTAGGTTCTTCTGTTTATCAGGATGATTTTGAAAGGCCATTCCTTGAGGTGTCTGCTAGTTTTTATAGTGGTGAGTCACAAAAATTCATAGAGTGTTGTTCCTGTGGTGAATATCTTAAGAAGGCTCAGCAGCGGCTTGATGAAGAAGCGGAACGTGTTTCACAGTACATGGATGCCAAAACAGACGAGAAAATAACTGCTGTTGTGGTGAAGGAAATGCTTGCGAATCACATGCAGAGGTTGATTCTTATGGAGAACTCAGGTCTTGTTAATATGCTTGTGGAGGACAAGTATGAAGACCTGACCATGATGTACAGCTTGTTTCAACGTGTTCCCGATGGTCACTCGACAATTAAATCTGTGATGAATTCACATGTTAAAGAAACCGGGAAGGATATGGTAATGGATCCTGAGAGGCTGAAGGACCCTGTTGATTTTGTCCAGAGGCTTCTAAATGAGAAGGATAAGTATGACAGTATTGTTACCACTTCCTTTAGCAATGACAAGAGTTTCCAAAATGCTCTGAATTCCTCCTTTGAGCACTTCATTAACTTAAACAATAGATGCCCTGAGTTCATCTCGCTGTATGTTGACGACAAACTGCGTAAAGGAATGAAAGAGGCCAATGAGGAGGATGTTGAGACTGTCCTGGACAAAGTGATGATGCTGTTTAGGTACTTGCAAGAAAAAGATTTGTTTGAGAAATACTACAAGCAACACTTGGCGAAGCGCCTTCTTTCTGGGAAGGCTGCTTCTGATGATTCTGAGAGAAGTATGCTTGTGAAGCTCAAGACAGAATGTGGATATCAGTTCACTTCAAAATTGGAGGGCATGTTCAATGATTTGAAGACCTCTCATGATACCACACAGCGATTTTACGCTGGTACTCCTGATTTGGGGGATGCCCCTACTATATCTGTCCAGATACTCACCACTGGGTCTTGGCCCACACAACCATGTAACACCTGCAACCTTCCTCCTGAGATTCTTGGCGTGTCCGAGATGTTTCGGGGTTTCTACCTTGGTACCCACAATGGCAGGAGACTGACATGGCAAACAAACATGGGTACTGCAGACATCAAAGCAGTGTTTGGAAATGGCAGCAAGCACGAGCTAAACGTGTCGACCTACCAGATGTGTGTTCTCATGTTGTTCAACTCGGCGGACTGTTTGTCTTACCGTGATATCGAGCAGACTACAGCGATACCATCCGCGGACCTGAAGCGCTGCCTTCAGTCTCTCGCGCTTGTGAAGGGCAAGAACGTTCTGCGCAAGGAACCTATGAGCAGGGACATCTCCGACGATGACAACTTCTACGTCAACGATAAGTTCACCAGCAAGCTGTTCAAGGTGAAGATCGGCACGGTGGCGACACAGAAGGAGTCTGAGCCAGAGAAGATGGAGACCCGGCAGAGAGTCGAGGAGGACAGGAAGCCTCAGATCGAGGCGGCCATCGTGAGGATCATGAAGTCGAGGAGAGTGCTGGATCACAACAGCATAGTGACAGAGGTGACGAAGCAGCTGCAGCCTCGTTTCATGCCGAACCCTGTGGTGATCAAGAAGAGAGTCGAGTCTCTGATTGAGCGCGAGTTCTTGGAGAGGGACAAGACAGACAGGAAACTGTACCGGTATCTTGCATAATTACTCTTTTTTTTTTCTTCTGGATTCTTTAACCTGACCATAAGTAAACCGTGGTCTATGTATACCTGTTATATCACGATAATGCTTTTGGTTGGATTAAGTTTTGGCCGCTGGATCCAGGTAACATGTGGTCTTCTTGTGGATGTTAATGTTTGCTTGCAGTTTGCGATGAATGTTACTGGCTATTCCTGGGTGGTTTCTTCAGGATTGAGTTTGTTCTCGTGTTAGCTCTACACGCTACTCACGTTTGCAACCCAGGGCCCAATTATGCTTATATGAACCCTGTGAAGTTAAAAAAGAATATATATTTTTTTCAACTTTCTATTAGAGTTTTTCTGTGATTCTGTTCCATTGAAAATGTATGCGTGTGTATATTTATTACTAGCATTAGTGAAAAATAACTAATACCAAGTGTAGTATCTCTAAACTGGTACTCTCTCTGTCTCGGTTTCAAAATACAAGTATTTCCAACAGTGGTTTCAATACACGAAACTAAGCTATTGAAAATTTTAAGAAACTAAGCAATCGAAAAATTTAAAATTTGATCGCCGTGGTGATTAAAAGGAAATCCTTTTCTTTACCTTTAGAATATAGTAGTAAACAACCTAGAGAAATAACATATATTTTAGAACATAGAAAATATATATTGTACAAAATATAAAATTATATAAAAAAACAGTGGCCAAAAACGCTTGCAGAGAAATAGTAGCAGCCTATCAGCTATGATTGCTTGAGTTGTTGAGTAGAGGCCATTTGCAGTTTTGCTTCTTCTCCCAGTGCACAAACCAAGCTTCTTCTTCTTCTTCTTCTTCTACCTCCTCACCTTCCCTTCGCTTGCTATTCTGTAGTTCTGTGGCCCCCCAATCTCCTCCTCCGCCGATCCGCCCCCTCCAAGTACCATTGCCGCATCCAGTCGCCGGAGCAATTTCCGATGCGCCGCCGTCGCCGCTGCTCAATCGCCGGAGTGGAGCAGCTCCGGCTACAGACTCATTGCTTAGCGATGAATGACGAGTCCCTTTGACAGAAGGTAGCTAGGGGCCTCTTGAGTTAGCATTTCAAGCGATTTTGTTTGATGAAATTTGGGATCTTTAGATGGGAGCGTTTGGAATTTCTGTAAAATTTTTTTTACCTAGTTGGAATTGTGGGCTTCCAATAGCTGGGACATTTTTGTTGTCACTCACTGTGAAAGTGATCTGCTAGTATTAGTCTAGTTGGGCTTTGTGAGGTTTGAGTTGGAAGCTGTTAGAAATTAGAGCTAAACATGCTTCAGGTTTCTGGTTGATACTCCTACTTGATAGTTGAAATTGAGTTAGAGATTTGAGAGTTTTGAAGTTCAGATAAAACCGAGTGAAGTGCTTTTTAGGGAGCGAGTTGAAATTTCATATAAAATTCGAGTAAAAAAATATTTCTTTCATTAAAAGATCCTTATCTTGGCTGTGACTGAAAAAGGAGAGGGGGGGGGGGGGGGTGAGAAGTCTGAGAAGATGAGGTACAGGAAGCTGCCATACAATTAGCAGAGGATAACACCAAAAACACTACCACACTATTAGCATTGTTCAATTATCCATCAACTCAACCTGCTTGATCAAGCTTGAATCATGGAGCTGGTGACAGGGGCGATGGGGAGCTTGCTCCCGAAGCTAGGTGAGCTGCTCAAGGACGAGTATGACCTGCAGACAGGCATGAAGGAGAAGGTCAAGTCTCTCTCACGGGAACTCGAGAGCGTGCACGCCGTCCTCCGCAAAGTCGGTGAGGTAACACCAGAGCAGCTTGATGAGCTGGTGAAGCTCTGGGCACGCGATGTCCGGGAGCTGTCCTATGACATGGAGGACATCGTCGACACCTTCTTGGTGCGTATCGACAGCTCCGAGACCGATGACCGGTCTGTGCTTAGGCACCTCCGGAAGAAGATGAGCAGACTGTTCAAGAGGACCAAGGATCGTCGCAAGATCGCTGGCGCGATCAAAGAAATTGACAAGAAACTCCAGGAGGTGGAAGCCCGGCGTGCTAGATACACAGTTGATAGCATCATCACCAAGCCTGCAGGACCAGCGAGCATTGATCCTCGCCTACAGGCTCTGTACAAAAGATCAACAGAGCTTGTTGGTATTGATGGGCCAGTGGACAAGGTTATAAAGATGCTGTCCCTTGGGGATGATAGGAACATGAAGATCGTCTCCGTTGTGGGATTCGGAGGATTGGGCAAGACCACTCTCGCCAAAGCAGTCTATGACAAGCTTAAACCGGACTTCGATTGTGGGGTTTTTGTTCCAGTCGGTCGAGTACCTGACATACAGAAAGTCTTAAGGGACATTCTCATTGATTTTGGCTTCAAAGTTTCTGATGTGATGATATTGGACGAAAGGCAACTTATCGACAAGCTCCAGAATTTTGTTCAGAAAATGAGGTAAGAATATGATGATCACCCAATGCTGGTCTCAATTTACTTTTGGTATATGAGTGATCTTAAGTTTCAATAGTTATAATGCTTTCTTTAGCTTCAGTAGTTATGATATTTTTTTATGGTTGCCACTTTTCTTGTTTTAATATGTTATTTCTACTAGTTTCAATTATTAAATTGATGGCTCTTGCACTGTCATGCGGCTGCACAGATGTTTCATTGTTATTGATGACATATGGGATAAGAAATCATGGGAGTTAATCAGATGCGCTCTGCAAGACTGTAAGTGTGGAAGTAGAGTAGTCGCAACCACTCGCATTTCTGAAGTTGCCACACATGTTGGTGATGTTTACAAAATGCAGCCACTTTCTCGTGATGACTGTGAAAAATTATTGTATGCCAGGATAGTTGACAGTGAAGGCAAATGTCTTGATAGCCCATCAGTTGAGGCATGTGACAAAATTTTGAAAAAATGTCGTGGTGTGCCATTAGCTATCATTACAATTGCTAGTTTGTTGGCCAGTAAACCAATGGAGGACTGGCCTGTGGTGTACAACTCTATTGGTTTTGGGCATGAAGGCAATGATGATGTAGCAAATACTAGAAGGATATTGTCTTTTAGCTACTATGATCTGCCTTCACATCTGAAACCTTGCATATTGTATATAAGCATATTTCCAGAAGATTATGAGATCAACAAAAACCTTTTGATATGGAAGTGGATAGCTGAAGGTTTTGTCCATGTGGAACATGTAGGGATTGGATTATTTGAGGTCGGGGAGGGGTACTTCAATGAATTGATAAACAGAAACATGATCCAGCTGGTGAAGGCAGAAAACGAAGGGTACATAAGTAGTTGCCGTGTTCATGATATGGTGCTCGATATGGTCCGTTCATTGTCGAGTGAAGAAAACTTTGTTACTTTATGGGACAGCAGTGAAAAACAAAAACTTCCGAGGAGGAATGCTCGCAGGTTAGCGCTGCAGAGTAGGAGTATTAAAGAGCAGAATGGTAATCAGCTAGCTAGTACAAGCATGGAGCAAGTGAGGTCCTTTATTGCCAATGATTGCGACGATATTAGCATGTTATTCCCAAGGTTTCGAGTTTTACGTGTATTAATTCTAGAAGATTGTGATGATGTGGAAGATGTGGAAGGTTGTGGTGGAAATAGTGTGGATCATCTTGGCAGTTTACTTCACTTGAGGTACCTTGGGTTACCAGATACTGACATTAGCAAGCTCCCAAAGGAAGTAGGAGGTCTCAAGTTTCTCCAGACTTTGGATTTATGGAATACTGGCATAAAGGAGCTGCCACAGGCAGTGGGCCTGTTGACACAACTGTTGTGCTTACACACTGATCGGAGTACGACAGTGCCAGCCGGTTTGATCGGCAAGCTGACGTCTTTGCAAGAGCTGTGGACATGGCCTGGTTCCGCATACTACCGCGACATGGACCCAGTGGCTGGTGCCGCTTCGACACGCCGTTTTGCGAAGGAGCTGGGTAACCTGAGGGAACTGAGGGTGCTCCGTGCTAGTATTTATGCAGTTGATGAGAGCACGGAGAGAGATTTGATGGAGTCCCTGCTTGGCAATCTTCAGAAAATTCAGAGTGTGGATATTTTTGGATCACCACTAGAGAGGGGAGTCACATGGGATGCAGGATTTGCCTCTCGTTGGCGCCTCCGGCACCTGAATTTGGAATGCTTCGAGCTCTCTAGACTGCCAGCGTCGGTTAACTCCTCGCTTCTTCCGAACCTCTCCCATCTAGACATGAAAGTGCAGGTTATGCAAGAGCAGGACATGGAAACTCTTGGGAGGCTGCCCGAGCTGCGTTGCCTTGTACTGGATTCGCGTTACACCAAAGTGGTAAGAATTAAGAATACTGGCAGTGATTGCTACTTCAAGAAGTTGAGATTCTTCACGATGGGCAGTTCATCCATCTTGTTTGATGTGCAAGGCAGTGAATGCGCTATCATGCCAAGCCTTGAATCCCTTGCATTTAGTGTCCATGTGCGGTTCCTCAAAGACGCGGACCTGCTTTGTTTCAAAAAACTTGGCTTGGTGAACCTCCCTAGCTCGCTTCAGCGAGTCACCGTTGAAATCAACTCTTGGGATGCCCATGATACAGAGGTGGAAGAAGCGGAGGCCATGTTGGAGCATGCAGCCATCGTCCATCCTAATCATCCCATCTTCCAAACCACACGGCCATTTGGAAAATATATCATGCTCTTACCTGACCAAGAGGTATGCTCTGATCATACAACAAAAAGATGCTCTGTTTTTCATTTGATGTTGCTATTTACTGAGATAATTAGCATGATGCATCAACTCTAGCATGCATGTTGTAGAATATAGATGTGATAAACTTGTACAAAATCCACACAAGGTAGTGGATGGCTGCAGTGTCCATGCATACTTCTAGCTTAGTTACTTGTTTCTTTTTTTTTTTTTTCATGGCTTGGCTTACCTGTCCATTTCATCTTAATTCCTTGTTCTTAGCCAAGCAGCACCAATCCTAAAGTTGATAGATGTGATGTCAATCTGCGAAAGAACGACGGAGACCATTTGGACTTCCGATGGCTGTTGATGAATCCACGCGTCGAGAAATTCTGTGTCTCCATAAACTGCGAGAATGCTAGTCTTGAGGAGGTTGAGGAAGCAGAGGCGGCTGCAAGATATGCAGTCGATGTCCATCCCAATTGTCCCACTCTTGAACTGGTGAGATATGGTGAAGATAAGATGGTGCTACCCAACCCCCAGCAACAGGTGAACACCCCCCATGTGCTTGTACAATTTTGTTGCATATGTAATTACTTTACTGCTACCTTAGCTTGTCTCTCTTGCTCTTATTTCCAACCTACATGCATGATTTAAGGGTAATTTTACTATCTCTAAGAAGGTACATAGAGGTACCATATTTTCTAGTGTAAAATTTGGTACCTCTAGGTACTAAGTACCTCAAGGTACCAAAAATTTTAGAATAAAATTTAGGTACCTCAAGGTAATTTCTCAACTACTGTAAAATTCCTCATGATTTAATCTTAAAGAACTCTCTCTCATCTTACCAAGACGTTACTTTACTCTTTTCTTTTACCTTATTTTACATGCCTGGATAGTGTGTTTTTGTGCACCGTATCATCCAACTGACCAACTCTGTTTCTAGGATGTGAATTTGATAGCCTGGACCATTAGCTACACTCTTCTGAAATTTAGACTTGTTTGATTTAAAAAAATTCTGAAAAAAATACTAGTACTTCCTCTGTTTCACAATGTAAGTCATTCTGGGAGTAGCATTTAAAAAACAGTATTTACAAGGAATCATTTTGAACAGCTTATGCCTAGTTTTCGCATGCTTTTCGTCATTTACTTCAGTATCCTTACATTTTGTACTTCATTATTTTTTATAGGTTGGTTATCTATCTTGATGACTTTCACAATCATGTTGCTGGTTGTAAGAATGAATCATCACATACTTGGCAACTTCGGAGTATATGCCTGTGAAACTCTAGACAGAATGTATTGGATATCGTTCACTCCAAAAATACAAGTTTACAACACAAGGATTCTATACCACTAGTTTCTGATGGAAATGGCAGCAAGCATGAATGAGCTGAACATGTCAACCTTCCAGACGTGTGTGTGCTCATGCTGTTTACTTTGCAGATCGTTTAACACATCGTGATATTGAACAGACAACAAAAATATCACCTGTATATTGAAATGAAGTGAGGAAATCTCTGATGATGTCAATGATAATTTGCTAGAAAGTTGTTCAAGGTCAGTATGTAAGGACCACATTTTTTTTTCTGGTTGTGGATAGTTGAATATCATAGAATTATTTCTGAGGTAACGCATAAAATGTCTCCTGCATCTTATTAGAACGTATTGGATTAGAAAGGGGATTGTGTGCAGTGGAAGGAATTTGGAGTTGCGTAGTGGCAAATATACAATTGTTCGTAATATAGATCGCCCCACTGGAGCTGGAACATCTTAGGCTCCTAGCTGCATGGCTTGTATGATAAATTGGCGGTTTCTTTGCAGTTTGCAGCTGAAAATTTATTTCTTCAACTTGTTAGCTGTGCCAAGTGTGATGTGAAGTGAAACTCCTATTGCTTTTGATCTCTTTAATATTTTCTACTTCCCCTGTCTCAAAATAAGTAACCACATTAGATTTAAAACTCGTCCCAAAATACATGTTCATTTTAAGCAGTCTTATTAATTACTTCTTATTTTTTTTTCTCATCTTACCTTCAACTACCCTCTCACTCATATACATCCCTCATTTAATAAGGGGCCTATACGTGATAAAGTTAGTCACTTATTTTGAACTGTCTCAAAATAAGTAACCTCATTATATATTTATATTTACAACTTGTCCCAAAATATGTGTTCATTTTAAGAACTACTTGTCTTATTAATTACTCCCTCCATCCCAAAATATTTGACGCCATTGATTTTTTTAAAAATGTTTGACCGTTCGTCTTATTCAAAAAATTTAAGTAATTATTAATTTTTTTCATATCATTTGATTTATTGTTAAATATATTTTTATGTATACATATAGTTTTACACATTCACAAAAGTTTTTGAATAAAATGAACGATCAAATATGTTTAAAAAAGTCAACGGTGTCAAATATTTAGGGAATGAGAGAGTACTTCTTATTTAACTTTTTTTCTCATATATCTTACCTCCAACTACCCTCTCACACATATACATCCCTCATTTAATAAGGGGTATCATTTACCTCTCAGCTTTCCTTGTAATTTAGACTATACATGATAAAGTTAGTCACTTATTTTAGAACGGAGGGAGTGCTTTCTTTTAGTATGCTTTTGGCCAAGTGGAGCAGAAATTCTGGGTAATTATTGGGGCTTGGCAAGCTTTTTGCATAAGTAGGATTCTCTGTAGTTGGATAATAAGGAAAATTATTTGTTTAAATAAAGAGGAGGGACCAAAAGGACAGATATATTAGAGGTGGCCGATTAGGAAAAAATAATTATTAATTTTTTTCATATCATTTGATTTATTGTTAAATATACTTTTTTTATACATATAGTTTTACACATTTCACAAAAGTTTTTGAATAAAATGAACGGTCAAACATGTTTAAAAAAGTCAACGGTGTCAAATATTTAGGGAATGAGAGAGTACTTCTTATTTAACTTTTTTTTCTCATATATCTTACCTCCAACTACCCTCTCACTCATATACATCCCTCATTTAATAAGGAGTATCATTTACCTCCCAGCTTTCCTAATATAGCCTATACATGATAAAGTTAGTCACTTATTTTAGAACGGAGGGAGTGCTTTCTTTTAGTATGCTTATTCCGGGTAATTATTGGGGCTTGGCAAGCTTTTTGCAAAAGTAGGATTCTCTGTAGTTGGATAATAAGGAAAATTATTTGTTTAAAGAAAGAGGAGGGACCAAAAGGACATATATATTAGAGGTGGGCGATTAGGAAAAAATATCTCTCTCTCTGATAATGGTAACTTTAATGAAATGGAGAGCGGAGAGTGGAGACCACTAGTGATTGTCTATTCTTAAGATGTTCTTATCTCTAGCGATGGACCAAAAGCACAAATTATAGCAGGCATAAAGTCAGTAGGCTAGCTAGCTGCTTTTGCCGGCCTGAGCATAATTCAGTGCTCAATTACGTTGATCCTAGACATACAATTACATCATCGCCGTCTTCATCCTTCCATAAGACAATGGCCTAAAAGAGGAAAACATAATTTAATTTAATATGAAAAAGTTTAAAGGGTAATTGAGTGGTAGATTCACTGCCAACACCACTAATATATAGAGATGTTACTGGCTGTTCCTGTGTGTGTAGCCAGGTTGATTTGTGTTGTTTCTTTGCAAAAGGTATGTTTAATTAGATGCCAAAATCAATGGACAAAAACAATTTAAAATTTGTCAATGCTGAAATTCAGTAGTCGTGACGCCGAAATTTTTAGTTCTTTGCTTCTATGCATGGGTTTTTACTGATTTTCACCAGTTGTATGCTGCGTAGTTGTAAGTTTTTTGGACCCATTTTTTCTCTATTGGTCAACTCTCTTTTACTTAATGAAAGCATAAGCTCCCTATCTTTTTTGAGGTTCAAAAGAATAGATGAAGTTTTAAAAAATAAATTAATTCTGAGTTGCCTCTCTATGTTTCCATAGTTTTTGTCGTAGTTGTGACAATGAAAAAGGAGGTAGTTGCAGTGAGCGGAAAGCCTCTCTTTCCTAGACTCCGTCTCCTCAATTCTCACTCGCAAGGACGTGTCTACAACGAGACCGTTCTCTGTATTGTTATAACCAGCTACCTCAATCTCATATCTATTGTTACTTGTACACCCAAAAGTGCATGTATTTTTTCTTCTTATGGAATTTTCTATTAAATTACTCATCTAATTTATGATCCGATTACACCATTATGTTTGTAACAATTAATTCTTTATAACAATATCTCACATGATTATATTTTTATAAAAAAATACAAATTACTTTTATAATATATCTAAATTACTTTTAGATTTCATTAAATTACTTCTTAGTCATAAAAGTAAATTTAATAAAGCCTGAAAGTAATTTACATATATTATAGAAGTAACTTAAAATAAAAAGTAAAGTAACTTGTTACGGTATTAAAAGAAATCTATTGTGGAGGTAAAAACATAAGTCTCTAGAAATTAGATTTAATCAACATATCATAGTTACCCCCACAACGGATTTATTCTAATGTCATGACAAGTTACTTTCTTTTTGTTTTAAGTTTCTTCTATAATATATGCAAATTAATTTTATGTTTTATTTAATTTATTTTTATATGTCTAAGAAGTAATTTAGTGAAATCTAAAAGTAATTTAGATATATTATAAAAATAATTTATAATTTTTCATCAAAATATAATCATGTGAGATCTTATTATAATGATTTAATTCTTACAAGCACAACAGTTGTCGGAAGGTGAACTCCTCAAGCGGGGGACTGTGAGGCCCCCTTTGTTAGTTCGGTCGGGGGCAGCAGGTGAGAATTGAGGATTTGGATGGAATGTGTGAAGTAGAGGGGGTCGAGCCCCTCAAGAAGATGAGACAAAAGGAGTTTATACAGGTTCGGGCCGCTGCAAAGCGTAATATCCTACTCCTATATATGATGATTTTTCTGAGCTTAGAAAGTCTCTGAATCTCTGGAGTATAAACTGGAGTTGGCCTCCAGAGATTGCCTTTTCCTCCGGGATCTCCCTTCTCACTAGGCATGGACCTCCTTTTATACTTCAAGAGGTTACCACATGGGTCCGAAAAGCTACCTAGGGAAAAGGAAAAATATTCTTTACATTAAATGTGTGTCTTGTGCCTTGACTTGGAAGCCACACGCACGTCGGCTGCTGTATAGGGCCCATCACATCAGGCCGGCTGACACAGGGGACGCCCGCGTCATTCTCTATTTAATGGATGAGGACTTTGGGTGCATGCATGCATCGGGAATACAAATCCGGGTACAGCTGGAGTAGTTAGGCCGGTACCAGATAGGATGAGGAGTAGAAAAGCTCCTCATCATGATCGATGGGATGGGGCGTGGCATGCCACACGCCGCCTGACACACGGGCAGCAAGTGGGCATGTTGCCGTCGTCCTATCAATCACTTGGCCGGTCACAGACCGGTCATAGCGACCAGTCAGGCGCTCTGCCTGCCGCATTTAATGCTGGTTGTTAAATTGAAACACAAGTACGATGCACAATTACCGGATTGTACAAACACATTTGGCTAATTCTATGGGACAAATGTAACGCTAATGACCACTTCTTATTCCATCATTTAAGGGGAACTCCCCTGGGCTTCTTGTTGATGGTTGATCATTCCTTATGTTGACATGTTCATTCACTAGTTTTAGTTACTAACTTATGGCTCTTGTGCTATCATTGTGATGTGCAGGTTCTTTGTTATTATTGATGACATATGGGATAGGAAATCATGGGAATTAATCAGATGTGCAGTGCAGGATAGTAAGCTTGGAAGTAGAGTAGTTGTAACTACTCGTATTTTTGAAATTGCCACACATGTGGGTTGTGTTTTATAAAATGGAGCCACTTTCTCGTGATGACTCTGAAAAAAATTTTGTACACAAGAATAGCTAATGCTGAAGGCAAATGTCTTACTTGACCACCAGCTGTGGCATGTGACAAAATTTTGAACAAATGTGATGGTATGCCATTAGCTATAATCACAATAGCTAGTTTGTTGGCGAACAAACCAGAGTAGAATTGGTCTGAGGTGTACAATTCCATTGGTTTTGGGCATGGAGGTAATAACGAAGTAGAGAATATTAGAAGGATAGTCTTTTAGCTACTATGATCTGACTTCACATCTGAAGGCTTTCCTATTATATCTCTTGGTGTAAATATGTAATGTATACGAGGGTCTACTTGTAAAATGTTTTTTTTTAAGAATAGAAGGATGATGAAGGGGTGTGTAGGCTTGAAGCCCCCTGAGAAATTGCCCCAAAACCAAACTACAATATGGTATTAGAGCCAAACCCTAGCTCACCGGCGATCTGTGGGGCGGGGTGAGGCCCAGAGCAGGAGGAGGGCGCGAGGAAGGCGGCTGGGCCTAGAGCAGCGGCATCGTACGCGTGAGGCGGCAGCAGCGGCGCGTGTGCATGGGCCGCGCTGGGCCCGGAGCAGGTGGTTGGCGGCGGCATAGGCGTTGGGCCCAGAGTGGCAGCGTCATACGCGAGCAGAAGGCCAGGCACGCGTGCGTGAGGCAGCGGTGTCCACAGCGCGCGTGCGTGCAGGAAGAAGAGGAGAGGAAGAAGGAGGGAAAAAGAGGGAGAAGGGTGAGAAGAAGAAGAAGGAAGAGAACAGCAAGAAGAGGAGAAGGAGGAAGGAGTACTATCACCGGTAGATTTGGGATTTTGTGTGGTTGATTTAAGAAGAGGAGGAGGAGGAGGAAGGAGTACTATCACCGGTAAATTTGGGATTTTGCTGTTGTGTGTGGTTGCTGCTAGTAGATTGGGATCTTGTTGTTGTGTATGGTTGCTGCTTGCTGCTAGTAAATTTGGTGCTGCTTGCTGAAGAGAGGAGAGAAGGAGAAGAAAGAAATGTCTTCAGTGGTTGGAAAGGAGGTTGTAGATGCTTCCTCACTTATCACTAAGGGTGATATGAAGGATTTGCTAGAGGATTTGTTGAAGATGGGCATGATAGGTCAGAGGAATGTAGCAGGAGGGTCTAAACTGAAACTAGAAGTGATGCCAAGTGAGTTGAGGTTGGAAGGGAGCAAAAATTATTTGAGTTGGTGTAGGAGAGCTCAACTAATGTTGAGAGCAAAAGGGGTGGATCATTTTTTGCAAGAGGGTTGTGAAGAGCCCTCTGATAAGGAGAGCCAAGCATGGAGGACATGGAATACAACAAATTTAACAGTTATGCTAGTGAGTTGCAGCAGTTATGGACAAATCTTGATCACTGTGATCCTCTACAGTTGAAGCATGAGGAGGACATTGTGATTGGAAATAAATGGATGCAGAGGCGAAGAGTCATTCATTTCTTGAAGGGGCTGAACAAGGAGTTTGAGGATAGAAGAGCGGCTATGTTCCACCAGGCTACATTGCCTACTATGGAAGAGGTTATTTTTGCTATGGTGCAGGAGATGAGGTTGAAACTGATGAGAGGCACAAATCTTACAAGATCAGCATACACTGTGGCTGATAATAGGGAATGCTACAACTGTGGACAAGTGGGTCATGTGAGCTACAATTGTCCCACTCCTCGGAACATTGGCGGCAGGGGGTTAATTCGAGGAGGGCATGGTGGATTTGGTGGAACCCGTGGTGGATTTGGAGGAGACCGTGGTGGCTTTGGGGGAAACCGCGGTGGTAGAGGAGGTGACTGGAGAGGTCGCGGTGGAGGTCGTGGTAGGACAGAGGTTCTCCTCAGGCCAATGCAGCCATTGAGGAGGGTAAAGCTATTACCCTAACAGGTGAACAGCTGACACAGTGGGAAGAATGGCAGAAGAACAAGACCAATGAGAGCTCCAACACCACCACTCACTTTAGTAACTTTGCCAACTACGCCTAAGTGGATGAAGGTACTCAGGCACATGCACTAATTGCATCTACATATAGACATCCTATAGATTGGATCATAGACTCAGGAGCATCAAAGCATTTCATAGGATTGCATAATACTTTCACATCATACACCCCTTATATCCGCTATGAAACTATCTAAATCGTTGATGGTACATCCAAACCTATTTATGGTATAGGGTCGGTAGAGTGCACATCATCAATGAACTTATCTTATGTTCTTCATGTTCCTTCCTTTCCAGTTAACCTTCTCTCGGTTTGTTCGGCTATTGATCAACTCAAGTGCATTGTTGTATTTGATGAGAATTCTTGTCTGTTCTAGGAGAAGGGACTGGGAGGAGGATTGGGACTGGAGTCAGGCGTGATGGGTTGTGGTACATCAATCATGAGGAACTGGTACTAGCTGCGGTGGTTGGAGATGTTTAGAAGGAGATCGGTTTGCTTCATTGTTAGTTAGGACATCCATCTTTGGGGTTTTGAGTAAGTTGTATCCAGACCTCTTTAGTAGAGTGGATATGCATAGACTGGTGTGTGATACTTGTGAGCTTGGTAAACATACTCGCTCTACATATGTTGGGCTTGGCCTTCATAGCTATGAACCATTCATATTAATACATTCTGATGTTTGGGGACCATACCCTGTTACTTCTGTGAGTGGTTTCAAGTGGTTTGTCATCTTTATTGATTGTCATACTCGTATGACTTGGATTTATATGCTTAAGCATAAGAATGAGGTCCTTCGATGCTTCCAGGACTTTCATAAATTAGTGACAACCCAATTTTCTTAGAATTATTAAATATAGAACTATTTTCTTAAAGAAAAAAGTCCACTCAAACTAACTATTCAAACTAACTATTTCATTGGATCGAACACCTTAAATTAATTTTTTTCTTATTTTACCCTTATATATACTATTGAAAATGGTTAACTCAGCTCCCTCATGCCTAACATTTTTGTTTTCTATAGGCTATATATTTAGGCTGCAATTTTGTAGACCCACAGATGACACCGTTATCAATGTTAGAAAATATTTTCTAACTTTTTATTATGATTTTTTGCATGAAATTTTAAAACTCGATATTTAAATCTATCTTGAGTGCTTCCAACCTAAACACATTAACCCCTCTTAATATAATAAATCTGGACATATTTGTTATACTAGGATAGGTTGGCATTTTTGGGACGGAGTAAGTAAGTTGTTAACATGTATCATCGACATACCTAATTTCAATGCAAAATACCGCTTATATAGGGAGTGAAAAAAGAGAAATACTATTAAAGGGTAAAGTGATCCCTTTTTTTAGTAGTTTGAGAGTGCAGGATGAGCTTAAAAAAAATTACTTTAGAGGGTTAACTGGTGTGACAAAATAGTTCGAGTGGGTAAAATGGACTATCTTCTAATATCCAAAATAAACTAAACTAAAATTTAGACTTAAAAAATAGAAACTAAAATTTAGAATAGTATTATCGTCAAGGCAGCACAATGGTAGTACTGCCATATATATAGACTCTTTTACAAACATCGGATGTTTCCTTTACAGGTCGGTATTATTTTATTCAACTAGCTAGTGCGATCTGAAGACTGAACAGCCCGGCCGCCCTTCTTTGTTTCTTATTCTCAACTTGCTTTATATAATATCTTGAACGTAAATTCCAGGAAATTGGTGCATATACACTATTAATTTCTGTTTGCAGGTAGTGGTGATGGTAAATCTATCATCATTTTTACTATTACCACCTAATAACTACTGTACGTGACCAATAAACAGTTAGATAAGATTTATCTTATTTCCAGCCAATTTTTTATTTATAGTAATTAATTATTTGGAAATTAAATAACCAGTAAATTATCCGCATTGGCTCCACCTCTCTCCTCCCCTCTCCGCGTGGGACGGTGTCCGTGGCGTCGCGGCATCGGCCACGGGCGGGACAACTGTTCCTGTGATTAATCCGGCCGTTTCCGCGGCGGATCCAGCATCAGTGGTGGGCGAGAAACTGAAGGCGGCCGTTCTTGCAGCGAACCCAGTGTTGGCGGCATCGGCAATGGGCGGGGGTAGTATCGGTCATGTTGGCGGCAGGCGAGGCGGTCGTTCTTGTGTCAGATCCGGTGTCGACAGTGGGTGGGGCGGCCTATTTAATGCTATAGATACTATTCTAATTATTGGGTTAGGAATGGCCTTAGTCGTCCTCTGCTGCTCAACCTTCTCTTCAGTCTTTTTTATCGCTGCCCTCTGCTGCTCGCTGCTACCAAGCGCACAGCTAGCTGCTCTCGGACGAGGCAACGACGACTCCTTCCCTTCCCTTAACCATTAAGCTACTCTAAAATCCCAAGCTTCGGATCGAATCGAGCTACGAATCGCGTCCCAGGGCAAAGAAAGGTAGGCCTTTTTCAGTTAAAATTTCAAAAGATTTCTTGATGGAAGTTTTGGATCTGTGTTGTAATCATCAACCGGCACTTCTGGGCTGGCAAACTTAAAGTTTTATTACTCAGTGGGGAGGTGCAGGGGTGAACTAAGAAACTAGAGATAAAACTTTCAACTTTTTATATGTTTGTCGTTTTGATAAAATCGATGTTGTTTCTGCGTGAGTTGGAAGTTTGATGAGAAAAATTGGAGCTAAAAGTTAAAAAAGAAAGAAATTCTGCTTGAAAACTCATTATTTATGTGGTTTGTGATGATGATGAAGGAGAGGAGCTTTCTCGATCGCAATCATGGAGCTGGTGATGGGGGCAATGGAAAACCTGATCCCCAAGTTGGGTGAGCTGCTCAAGGAAGAGTACGTCATGCAGTCGGGCGTGAGAGAGAAGATCCAGTCTGTCTCACGGGAGCTCGAGAGCATCCACGCTGCTCTCCGCAAGATCGGCAAGGTGCCATGGGAGCATCTTGACGATGAGTTGAGGCTTTGGGCGCACGACCTTAGGGAGGCGTCGTATGACATGGAGGACATCATCGACTCCTTCCTTGTGCGCGTCGACGGCCATGAGGCAAGTGAAGTTCACTGGTTCAAATGGTTCTTGGAGAAGATGACCAACCAGTTCAACAAGATCAAGGCTAGCCATGAAATCGGTGTCGCAATGAAAGAAATCGATGAGAAGCTCCAGGAGGTGGCTACCAGGCATGCGAGGTACACAATCGACAATATTGCCATCAATCCTGCAGGCCCAGCAACTGTCGATCCTCGTCTCTTGAGTATGTACAAAACATTGGCAGAGCTTGTTGGAATTGAGGGGCCCATGGATGAGCTCATGAAGATGTTGGATATTGATTTGCCGACCAAGAAGAGGAAGATCGAAATCGATGTGTCCGTTAGAAAACCGAAGATGGTATCCATCTTTGGGTTTGGAGGACTTGGCAAGACCACTCTTGCCAAAGCAGTCTACGACAAGCTTAAACCAAGTTTTGATTCTGGGGCTTTCATTCCGGTCGGTCAGAATCCTAATATTAGGAAAGTTTTTAGGGATATTCTCATGGATCTTGACAAGCAGTCATACAATGACTTAAATCTAAAGCTGCTGGACGAAAGGCAACTCATCAACAAACTCCAGGAATTCCTCCAAAAAAAGAGGTAGGAATATAATCACCAAACCTTTGGCGCCTATTGGTAGAGAATGCAATAACAATTAACTTTCTCCAAATTATTGCATGCTACAGTTTGATGCAGATTCATGTCGTTCCTCCTTACTACTTCTGTTTATATATATAACAAAATCTCATGCTACTGTAATATGGTTGATGGTTTTCTGCGGTTGTTGTGTTCTGCTTGCTTTTACATGTTCTTCCACTAGTTTTAATTACTAACTCTATTCCCTTTCATTGTTGTGTGGATATATGTACCAGGTGTTTTGTAGTCATTGATGACATATGGGATAAGGATTCATGGAGGTTAATTAGATGTGCACTACAAGACAGTAACCATGAAAGCAGAGTAGTCACAACTACTCGTATTTATGAAGTTGCCACACAAGTGGGCGAAGTTTACAAAATGCATCCACTTTCTCATGATGAATCAAAAAAATTATTGTACACAAGAATTATTAGCGGTGAAGGTGAGTCTCTCCGTAGTACATCGGTTGAGGCATGTGACAAAATACTAAAGAAATGTGGCGGTGTGCCTTTAGCTATCATCATAATAGCTAGTCTGTTGGCCAATAAACCAAGGGAATACTGGTCCGAAGTGTATAACTCTATTGGTTTAGAACATGGATACAATGATGACGTAGATAATACAAGAAGGATATTGTCTTTGAGCTACTATGATTTGCCGTTGCATCTGAAGCCGTGCTTATTGTACCTAAGCATATTTCCGGAAGATTATTATATTGAGAAAAATTTGTTAATATGGAAGTGGATAGCAGAGGGTTTTGTACATGAGAAACAAGCAGCAAAGTTAGGGTTATTTGAAACCGGGGAGGGATATTTCAATGAGTTGATAAACAGAAGCATGATCCAGCCAGTTGAGCATGAATACTCAGGGTACATGTGTGGTTGCCGTGTTCATGACATGGTACTTGATCTGATCCTCTTATTGTCAGGTGAAGAAAACTTTGTCACTGTAGTAGATGGCAGTAAGGAACATGAACTTTCATGGAAAAATGCCCGTAGATTAGCTCTACAACATTGGAGTTTTGAAGAGAACAGGAATCAGTTGGCTAATATGGGTGTGAAGCAAACAAGGTCCCTTATTATGACTGAGTGCTTTGATAAGAACATGCAATTACCGAGCTTCCAAGTTTTACGTGTACTAGAAATACAAAAGCAAGGCCGTTGGTGGAACATTGATGGTAAAATTAACCTGCAGCATGTTAGAAATTTACTTCACCTTAGGTTCCTCCATCTAGATTGTATTGATTCTATTCCTCTCATAGAGCAATTCAGAAATTTGAGGTTTCTACAAGTACTTCATCTGAAGGAATCTAACATACAAGAGCTGCCAGAGTCAGTGGGCCTGCTAACAAAATTGCTGTCCCTACGTGTTGATATTGATGTAAGGGTGTCGCCTGGTGTGATCGAGAAGCTGACGTCCTTACAGGAGCTGTATTTGTGGCCTTATAGTGATGATACGTTCCAGTTCGTGAAGGTCCTAGGCAAGCTGAGGGAACTGAGGGTGCTGCATGCTAAAAACCTTAAGCTTGATGGACAGGGCGAGACATCAGCACTGCTGGAGTCCCTATGCAATCTGCACAAGATCCAAACTTTGGACATTGACCTAAATCTTAATCCAAATGAGGGTGTCACGTGGGATGCAGGATTCACTTCCCCTCAATGCCTCCGATACCTCTGCTTGGTGTCTTTGAGGTTTCATAGAATGCCAGAGTGGATTAATTGGTCGCTTCTTCCAAACCTCTCTTATCTTGAATTGAGAGTGAATTTTTTGGAAGAGCTAGACCTTGAAACCCTTGGGAGGTTACCAAAACTACGATACCTCCATCTGTTTATACACTGCGACAGGATAGTAAGCATCGGGAAGATTGCCGGTGCTGGTGATGCCTGCTTCCAAGAGTTGAGATTTTTGAACACACCCTACTTGTATGTCCGGTTTGATCAGCATGGCATCATGTGCAGCAAAGACGAAAAAGCTGTCATGCCAAACGTCAAAACTCTCAGTTTTTGTGTTTATGTGCGGATCCTAAAAGATACCGACATACTTGGATTTGACAAGCTGTTTAGCTTCGCTCATCTTGGAAGAAGTTCGCTCCAACAAGTCCAAGTTAACATCCAATGTCGTGGTGCTCGTGCCATGGAAGTCGAGGAAGCGGAGGCGGCGTTGGCACACGCAGCCGCCATCCATCCCAACCGTCCAACCCTTCAAATCCATAAGTTTTCGGAGGGAGAAATGCTTCCCCCTCACGAGGAGGTACGCTCACACAAATGGGCCTCATCTTTTCGTTTATGTTTATACTTATCAGCTAAAATTTAAATTTTTAAGTTTAAAATTAGAGCTTATTTCGAGGTTTTTTCATTGAAATTTATTTTAATTAGCCTCTGTTTTTAGATCGCTAAGAACACTTATATAAACGTTTTATGCACATATTATTTTTCCTTTGCAAATATAGCGTTTGACTTATTCCACGAATAAGCGAAATGATGGGCTGATTAATCAATCGGACTTTTTCCGATGGTCTCTATTGGTACTGTTATACTACGCACTACTATTATTATCAACAGTACAAGACGTCTCAACTGTTGGTTTATGACTTCTAGTACTGGTAGAAAAAGAGTATTCGACTAGTACTTGGTGTGGCAGTATAAATAAATACCGGTTTAAATTCGTTTATACCGTTAGTAAAAGAACATTATATTTATAAAACACTTCTTGGAACTTTCAGTGACCGCTGGCTCCCATTTTTGGTGATTGAGCTGTGTATCATCTATTCTTCTCTATATTAATTAGTTTTCTTCTTCTTTCTTGATGGCCACTTGCTTCTCCTTCCCAGCCTAGCAGCTTCTTTCCTAAAGTTGTTGTCGAAAATCTCAATGCGCATGAGAGAAAGGACGACGATCTTCGTTTTGTCCTCGGACAGATGCTCCAGCGTAATCCATGCGTAAAGAAATTCAGTGTCTCCATCAACTGTGAAAATGCATGTCTTGAGGAGGTGGAGAAAGCAGAGGCGGCTGCGAGATATGCAGTCGACTTCCACGCAAACCGCCCGACACTTGAACTGGTAAAATATGGTGAAGATAAGATGGTGTTGTCTGGCCAACACCAACAGGTATGCACCCCAGGTTGCCTATCTGATTCTAATCCCTAGTTGGTTACTGTGAATCCCATTAATTTGGTTCAACGCCTCTTCTGCAATACCATCTCTAGGTCTGAAGAAATTCTACCATGTTGTTTTGAGTCAAGATTGTCAAAGTGGTAGCACAGGAGTCTCAGTACTGTCTTGAGCAGAACAGGGAGCCGCTGCACTGCAGATCGAGCCGAAGAACATTTGATGTAATCCTGATCAGAACACCATTTTGACTTCCATTTTATTTGAGAACACCGCAAATTTTACTCTGCAACCTGTAATAAAATGTACTTGTAAGCTCAATCTTATTTCCGATTGATGGCTAGTTGGCACGATTGCTGCGCAGTCTTGATTAAAATGTGTCCCTAGAAATGGTACCAGACTATTTTTTGAACAGAATGAAATGGTACCAGACTAGTTAGCACGGTTACTGTACAATTTGCAACATGTCTATTTATATATATACCTCTACTCCCCAGTTAGAGTGTGCTCTTTACTCTATCTTTCCAATCTCGACTCTCTTGTTTTCTACACATACGCTTTTCGAACCGTTAAACGATATATTTTTAATATAAATTTGTTTTAAATAATCACATTAATCTATTTTATAATTTTAAAGCGAATATTTACATAATTAGTTATTCGTTAATCCATGCTTTGTTTTGCATGCTGTAGGAAGGGGTTTCCAGTCCCTTTTTTTTAGACTCGCACTAGACAGTGCGAAATTCTATTGTATAGCAGGAGAAAAATACAAGATTACAACCCTAGGAGGTCGTAATCAGAAAAAAAAAAAGTATACCACCATCTACACACTGACAACGCCAACACACAGACCCAGGAGAAGGCTAGCCCCAGACCGGTCGCCGCCAAGCGGGACCGACCGGCGCTAAGCCAACAACGGAAAACATCCGAGATCGCTCAAAACCCAACCCTTACCACTAACACATAACTATGCTCTATCCAAATACTTGGGAATGAGGGAGAGAGCATGAGAGAGAATAATGGAACCGCTCTCCCCCCTAGGCCCTTCGACGTGGCCAACTTGCGGAAGCTAGGACGCCGACACAAGAGGATAAGACTCTAGTGCGAGATTGCACCCATTGCTTGGGAGGTTTTGGCAAGGGGGTGCCTAGAAGACGTCTCCAAGGAAAGTAGCGACGAAAGAACCGCCGCCGCCGTCTATCAAGGTCTTAAAGAGAACCAAGACTGGCTTTCACCCGGCAGCCACACTAGAGGGGGTGAGACGGCACGGCAACGCCCTCAGGAGGCTCGAACGCCACCATTGCCGGCCCGGCCAAGGCCGGGCTTGGTTTTCACCCGTCGTCCACCGCCTGCTGATCAAAAGCTGTTCTCCATTGCTCCAACTACCAACCCTTCACCGTCAGTACGTGAACATCGCTGCACCAACGCCCCTAGTTGGCCAGCCTCCACTGCCTCCATGTAGGCCTCCCACTCGCCGCCACCGGATAGCTGGCAAGCCACTGCCACCACCTGTCGTGCCTCCTTGCGCCGTACTGGCTTCCGCCGTCACCGACCACACCTCCTCGTGCCGTGCCAACTTTCACGACCACTGTGGCACAGCCGGCAGCCTCCGCTGCCACCTGCACGCGCTGCCTTGTCGTCCTCCACCGTTGCCTGCATGTGCCGGCTGTGCCTTGCCGTCCTCCGCCGCCCCTGCACGCGTCGGTCGCCCCTCATCGGCCTCCATTGCCGCCTACATGCCCACGTCGGCCTCCGCCGCCACCTGGACGCTCGCCCTTGCTGCGAGCCGTTTGTCAATGACAAAATTTGGTAATATCAGCATCGGAGATGAAGATTAGATTGAAGCGAAATCAAAGATGAAGATCTTTACGGAAACAGAGTAGGAATCGGCTGGAGTCCGGATCGGCTACGATTGGAATCGGCTAAGTCCGAGTCAGACTGGGTTAAGTGATACAGCCGATTCCGACATCACGACTTGGTGTACGACATCGGGTTGAGTTGATATGCTTCAAGATGATTGCCACGCATGGATAGAGTCCTGAAAAGGCAATTGTATCTATTAATTAGGATATTTTATATAATTTCCTTAGAGATATGTTTGGGCAAAAGTCTGCCGCAAAGACTTATGGTATCTTAGAGTTTGTTAGAGATAAGAGTCGTGTCCGATATGGACGTAGTTTGTAATTTTTGGGTATAAATAGACCCCGAACCCCATGTAATCAATTAACACACACGTTCAATACAATCTCGGCGCATCGCCACCCTTTTTGCTTTAGTTTTATTTCGACGAGTTCTTGCTTTCGGGTTGAGCTGCATCGGTTTCGATCTTCAACAAGAGGTAAAACTTGTTATGACGGCTTGCATTCTCGGGATTAGTGCTTCCATCTTTATGATACTCTAATCTTGTTTATGTAATTCGTCGAGTTATCATATATCTTATATAATCTCTGACAATATCGCTATCTAACCTACAATCGGCTAGCATCTATTGATAGAGGCCAGCCGATAAGGTTAAATATCGATGTTGGCTTAGATTATATATGTTATCCACCACTCTATGAAACTTCCAATGGCTTGATTGTTTAGATATTGTCCTTCTTTTCATACTTTTAGCTGCATCAGTTGTTTGATCTTATGAGTCGTGATTAGAATCTCAATCTCTAGTCTGCTTCTTGGATGCCGATTAGGGTAGTATCGGGGTTTCAGCCGATCTTACCTGATTTAACTATATTTGCTTTATATGCTTTACTGACATGTTAAATCTGCCCTTTATATTAAGATCTTGTAGCATTTAAGTATATTAGACTTTTGTTTGATATATTCTACTTGCTTTAATATCTTAATATAGAGTTGTATCGGAGTATTAGCCGATACACGCTAGATCTATCTAATCGGCTATGCTATGAACATATCTATTCCTATTATTAATATATATTTCAATCTAAGTGATTTATACTGTCTCGGCATGGCGACCGATCTATCCCAATCACTTGATTTAAGTATATATCGATATAAGGAATACATATTGTTAATATCTACAGCCGATTGAGTAGATTTAGTCCCTTTTTACTTGTTTATGACCGCCGATCGACCTACATATGTCATCGGCTCAAAGATAAATGATATGTCATCAGCCCCTTAGCCGATCGGCTATTGTTTATGGATTTAACCACGGTTCCTTTGTCGTTATTTCTTGTTGATTGCAGGATCAAATCAACTGGCACGCTAGCATACCCGAAGGCGAGTTTGGACCTGCACTGGAGTTAAGCAGATCTCCCAGGCCTCGTGTTTTTCAGCAACACCGTTGCCCTCCACCGCTCCGATGCCCATGCCTCCTACCCCGCCGCCACTTGCTGCCTCCGCGACGGCCTGCCACCGAAACTTCACAGCCACGGCCACCACGGTCGCCTACCACCGCCACCACCACTCATCCCCGCCGTCAGTCACCACCCGCCCAGATCCGGCCGGGGTGGTGTGGATTTGGACGGGGCTCCGCTGCCGTCGCCGCCATATTCGCCACCAGGTGTCGCCACTGCTACTACAGCCCCCGCCGCAAGCCACTCCCCAGCCAGATCCAGCCAGACTCGGCCCGGATCTAGCCACCATCGCCGCTGCCCTAGACAGCCTCCCCCGGCCGCCGAGCGTGGGATGGGCGAGACGAGGCTCCGCCTCCGCCATCCTTCATGGCCGCGTGGCTTTGCCGACGCCCGCTCAGGCGGCGGCGAGGCAAGACGAGGAGGGAGGCGGGGAGGAAGGTGGCGACGAGGCGTCGCCGCTCGTGCCGCCTAGGGAGGGCGACGCGAGAGAGGACCTTCCAATCCCTCCTTCTGAGGATCCTTGCGGATGAATTTAATTTTTTTATCAACTTGTTGCATGGGTCAAGTGTGATGTGAAGTGTGAACAGCTCTTCCTGCCGGTGGGTAAATTCCAGGCAATTATTGAGGGCATGACAAGCTTTTTCTGCAATGACTGAACCGAGTCACCGACAGCATGATAGGGTGTTAGGGCATGTTTAGATCTACTGGCAAAATTTTTTACCCTATCACATTGAATATTTAAACACATGTATGGAGTATTAAATATAGACAAAAACAACTAATTACACAGATTGCGTGTAAATTACGAGACGAATCGTTTAAGCTTAATTGCTCCATGATCTGACAATGTGTTGCTATAGTAAACATTTGCTAATAATGGATTAATTAGGCTTAATAAATTCGTCCCACAGTTTACAGGCGGATTCTGTAATTAGTTTTGTTATTAGTCTATATTTAATACTTCAAATATCTATCCATATATCCGATGTGATACGTCAAAACTTTTCACACCTAGATCTAAACATAGCCTTACAAATGATTGAAACAGTACAGTACTCTCAATGGACCCCAAATCAGTCATGTTTTAAATATTGACACAGTAAGCTAGATATGTTATATTATTTATTACTGCTCCATCATTCTAAAATATAACAACTTTTACCTTTATATACATGGATAAAGAAATGTCAAGATACATAGCCAAAGTTATACTATTTTTTTAAGACAAATTTAACAATACCATTTTAAAATGTTGAACCGAAATTATTCAAAAAGTTTATTTTGGAATAATTATTCAAAAAGTTTTGATTATCAAAGTTTAAACATGTTGGTTGCACACCGAGAAGACGTCACTCCTTGTGACAAAAAGTCACTCATCCGTGGAAAACGTGTTGATAAACGGTCTGCATGATTTCTTTTTGTTCTGCAAAGGAATCAATCTGTAAAAAAAAAAAAAGTGAAGGGAAAGCCCGGACCCCGGAGTAACCAAGCAGGCATACCACCCTCTTTCACTTTCCGTGGTTCCATCTCCTGATTATGTCCTCAATGATCGATCCCCTCCATCCCAATCTGTCCTTGTAGTTGCAGTAGCTCCACCCCCGCCGCTCTGCGCCTTGGCAACCATTAAATCACCTTGGCAAAAAAAAGTAGGTCTTTTGGTTAAAATTTGGAATGATTTCTTGATATGAATGTGTTCGGATATGTAGCTGTAAGGCCTGGAATTTCTGAATATTGTTATCAGCAGGGTTCACAATTTCGGATGGAAATTTCGGTTCTATCGGACCGCCCGATACGATATAATTTCAGCCGAAATTTTTATTTTTTTCATTTCTCGTGAATTTGGTAATATTTTGTTTAAATTCAGTCAAATTTTATTTAAAAATTCATAAATTTTCAGACCGAAATTTCTAAATCTTCGGACCGAAATTTTTAAATTTTCGGCCACCCCTGATACAAATCAGCAAACCGAAACATTAAACCCTGGTTATCAGTACATGGGAGTTGGGGCTTGTGGGCTTCCAAGTTCCAACTGAAAGTTTTGTCACTGGGCAGGAAGGTGAACTGCTGTATTAATCTAGCTAGTTGGGAGTTGTCAGAGACTTGAGATAAAAAATTTCAGCTTTTCATTTATAGTTGGTCGTTCGGATATATAAATGACAGTTTTCACACAAATAAAGAACAATTTACGCTTGGCAGCTCATC